TCAAACAGCCTCCTAACAGCGCTATCAGTGTAAAAGCCTGTAGCTGTAAATGGCAGCATGTTAAAGACGGGCCTCTCCTCACAATCACTGCAGCACTTTCATGTGTTCAGCCTCTCAGAATGTATGTAATTACCTCATATAATTACCCTGCAGTATAGAAGAACACAAGCTACATGAAACTACGGCTAATGGAGCCGCTATAAGGGCCCCTATACCGACAGAAGAGAGATTTAGAGAGCTAGAAGAGGACATTTACTCAACTTGAAAGCCAAACTGATGGAACGAAAGCAGAAGAATCACGTCACTGAGAGGTTTGGTGGACTGACATGCAGAAGGAAACACAACAGCAGGGAAGTGCATGCGGCCGGTGGCGTCTCGTCTAGTGTTCGGCACAAAGCGGCTCCCTGAATGAATCAAACGGGACAGGAGCCCCAGATGGGACGCCATATGCCCCTCTCTGCCTGCGTCTCTCAATGGATGCCACTGTAAAAGCTGGAACTGCTTTATGATCATCAGATGAACTCTAGACCTCACTTCACCAGTCTGATATGACTTTCAGTTGCTCTGAAAACTTTGGGCTCGAGTGCTCAGAGATCCACACACGCTGGATCAGCTACTGAAGAGAAAACAAAGATAAACCAAAGATCGCACTGATCTGGAACGACTGCTCCATTTGGTCGACAACTATTGCTATGTGGTTACTAAGGTGTTCTGAGCAGTAATGTTATGTGGTTGCTAAGGTGTTCCAGGCGGTTTTTATAATGTTAGGCATTTGCTAACATGTTATTTTTTTTAGCAACAGTTCTGTTTTTTTATTTTATATGAATAGTTCTGAGTGATTTTTATGTTATTAGCGATAATTCTGTTAATTGTTTTTGTGATAGTTTTGAGTGGTTTTATTTTTTAGTGATAGTTCTTAAGAGATTTATATTTTTTAGCAATAGTTCTGAGCAATTGTAATTTTTTTAGCGATAATTCTGAGTGATTTTTTAATCGATAATTATGAACGATTTAAAATTTTCTGTGATAATTCTGAGCAAATGTTTTAGCGATAGTTTGGAGCAGTTTAATTTTTAATTGATAGTTCTTAGATATTTTAACTTTTTAGCAATAGTTCTGAGCAATTTTTATTTTCTTTAGTGATAATTCTGAGTGATTTTTTAGTGATAATTCTGAGCGATTTGAAATTTTTTGTGATAATTCGGAGCAATTTTTTTGCGATAATTCGGATTTTTATTTTTTGTGATAATTCTGAGCAAATATTTTAGCGATAGTTCCGAGCAGTTTAATTTTTAAGTGATAGTTCTTAGATATTTTTGTTTTTTAGCAATAGTTCTGAGCAATTTTTATTTTCTTTAGTGATAGTTCTGAATGATTTTTGTAATGTTGCTCTGTGGTTTCTTACTGTCCATAATTAAAATCCTCAAGTCTGTGTGATATTCTGCTCTTTAGATATGTCAATCTACCTTTAACAGCATCTCTAATGGCAAAATGCCAACAGCATGGCAGTCGTCATGGTGATGCCCCAGTCATGGAGGAGTGGGTGGGATCCGGAGAATGACCCAGACATGTGACCTGCTGTCTGCTGGGAAATACCCAGACTGACTGACTGACATTTATACACAGATGTGAGTAATGCAGTAGAAAAAAACTAAACAAAAGAGTAACATCACAAATTTATATTTAATTTATTTATGAGGCAGCAGACTGGTCTTATCAATAACTAAAACTATTTAAAAACATTTTTGTCAATTTAAATTAATATAAAAAATGGAAAATATTAATTTGAGACAAACTAAATAAAAATGGTAAAAATGTTGTATAATGTACATATAATGGACCTTGAACGGTTTTTAGCACTCGCTTAACCTTGAGTTAAGGCCATTTTCAAAGCAGTAATTTACTCATTCTCAATGATAATATTGTTTATATGGAATACCAAAGAGACATTATGAAGAATCTTTGAACAACACACATTCGGCTGCTGTCAGCTGGAAATACAATGCCCACAATCCCACAGTGTTCATTCACCTGAACGACAGAGCCGGGAATAGAGAAGGTGACCTCACAGGTAAGAAGAAAGACACTGCGGCAAAACCTCCACCATCTGCTGCTCGTGCTGAAAGACACACACACACACACGTCTCCAAATAGAGGCTTCAGCTCAATGCTCAATATGACAACCAGGGTTATGTTTTTAGTTTAGCTGACTAAAACCAAAACCATAAAAAAACACTTCTGTTGCTTGAAATAAAATAAACGCTAACTGGAAAAAAATAGACTTATTTTATTTAAGCTAGTTGCCACTAGAAAATAAATATAAAATAACTAAAATAAAAATGGACATTTCAAAAAAAAAAAAAAAATCAATAACTCATAAAAATGACAAAACAAAAAATCACTTTAACCAAAATATATCTAAAAAACACTTTCATTACTTGAAATAAAACAAACATTAACTTAACAAATAAAATAAAATATACTTATTTAATACACTAAAATAAGAAAAAAAAACACTAAACAACTAAGACAAACTAAAACAAAAATGCAAAAACAAAATCAATAACTAATAAAAATGACAAAAGCAACTAAATTACTAAAAAAACTAAAATAACAACAAAAAGCAACTAAAAATTAAAATTCTAATACTAAAATAAGAGTGGTGAAAACATAACAGCAATGAATGGAAAATGACAAATCAAATAAATAACATGAATAAACGTAACTAGGTGTTTACGCAGTTAGCACTAATAATCCTGCAGTTTGTGGAGTTCAGATCCTGAACATAATACAGGTATAATAACGTGGTGAAACGTGAAGCTGTGACCGTCTCTGATGGAAACTCTCTGTCTGTGAGCTGTAATTACAGTAAACGCCGGCTTCCTGTGCATTCCTGCAGAAGAACGCACAAACGCCGTCAGCTTTTATCTCCTGAACGATTCATTTTAACAGCAACAGCCACTTAGAAAGAAAGGCTCTCATTCACTGAGTGTCATTTCAGTTTTCCAAACACTCACAAACAAGCACTTTTTAACTTGTGATGACTTTTGTTGATGTTGCGCTGACTTTATACCGATGCGTGCGGAAGCAGCATCACAAAAGGTTTCAGTTACTGACGCCTTTGTAGAAACGCTTCATTTCACAGGCGTATTTGACTCCCATGATTCATTTATTCTGTAATGGAAAGCGCTCAACAGTCACTGTCCTCTTTTTCAGCAGAACTGGTTCAGCACGTTCGTTTTCTCCAAAGACACTTTAAAATATTCTTCAATAAACAGTTTCGGGCCTTCAAGCAATTACAAGATTCGATACGCACCTTAAAGAACCACAAGAAAGGCCAGAATTAAAGCAGGAGTGTTGCTGTTATTTTATTGGTGATATTTCACACTGTAGAACCAGTCAGAACTAATGCAAACAAAACTCATAAACCAGTTTTATTAGTTCTGTCAGTGAAACCAGAGGAACCTGTGAAAACACTCACCAATTCATTTCCAACAACCTAAACTTGCAAATGTAATTTGCTTGTCATTTTTAAATAGATGTTCTCATTACTTTTTACATAAATCTGCAAGAATGAATCCAAAACAGGAGGAAAAAAATAAACAGATGCTATGCAAAATACAGGGAAACTAATTATACTTTCTAAACATTAAATATGAAATTCAATTTAAATACAAAAAAAGTTCCTATAGGGACCTGCAAAGAAAACTAAACTTATTAAGAAAGAACGAAAGCATAAATACGGTCTGTTTGTGCCGCAGTGTAACAGGGATGTAATAAGACCTAAACAGATCAGTAACAGGGGAATATTTACCCTACGCTCACAGGACAGGAAAGATGTTCCATCTCTGTACCTAAAAACGAAAACTGAGGGAATAAACAGCAATTCAACGAACGCAGTGTGTATTTCTCTATACAACGATGTACATGCAAATATCTGAATCTATAATTTACATAAATCATACACTAAACTGCATTTACATGGGAAAGTTGCTTATTTAATTACACAAGTATATAAATATGTATTATTCTTCTTATTATGCTTGGAAAACCACTTAAATGCAAGATATTTTCCCAAGTGGCAAAGATGAACAGCAAACGTCAGAAATGAAATCGACTGATATATATATATATATATAAAACATTTTGGTTTTTCTTTGTGCAGACGCTCAGGTGTAGATTATATAAGGGCAGTATATGGGTACAATGAACTAAATATAATGACAATAAATTAATTAATTTAAAACAGCAAAGCATCCTATAAAACAAGCCAAAAATGGTCAAATATTATTTATTTGTAACTTACTATATATATAGTGATATGTGATGAAGCTGTGCATAATAATCAGCTCATTAAAGGAACAGTTCACACAAAATAAAAATGTGCTCACCCTCAGGTCATCCCAGATGTAGATGAGTTTGTTTCTTCAGCAGGTTTGGAGAAATTAGCATTGCATCACTTGCTCAGCAATGGATCCTCTGCAGTGAATGGGTGCCGTCAGAATGAGAGTCATCACAATAATCCACACCACTCCAGTCCAGCAGTTAACGTCTTGAGAAGCCAAAAGCTGCATGTTTTTAAGAAACTAAACCATCTTTACGATGTTTTTAACTTCAAAACGTCACTTTTGGCCAAAATATGAGCGAGTCCATAATCCATAATAACACTTCCTCCAGTGAAAAAGTCCATCTCCTGTTGTCTCTCACATCAAAATCCACCCACAGATTTGTTTAGAGCTGTTTTGACTTGGAAAAGGTGCTTGATCTGTGCAGATTTCTCTCCTGATTCAGACTTTTTGACTAGAGAAAGCAGTATTATGGATAGAGGATTCATATTTTAGCTGGAAGCAACGGTTTGAAGTTAAAATGTCTTGATGGATTTGTTTAAGGTTTTGGCTTCTTAAGATGTTAACTGATGGACTGTAGTGTTGTGGATTATTGTGATGTTTTTATGAGCAGTTTGGACTCTCATTCTGACGGCACCCATTCACTGTAGAGGATCCGTTGCTGAGCAAGTGATGCAATGCTACATTTCTGAAGACACAAACTCATCTACATCTAGAATGACCAGAGGGTGACCACGTTTTCAGCGAACATTCATTTTTGGGTGAACTATTCCTTTAAGAATCATTCCTAATGGGTCAAAGTATGATTTATGTTGATTAAGAAATCTTTTGGTTTGACTCATTTTCCCCACATGTGACCCACAAACAGAAACAAGCAAACAAACTAATGATTATCACAATCAACCGAAGTGTTTTAGCTACATCAGACCTGTGACTAAAACCCCAAATCGTACCAATCCCAGAATTCAGAGCAGCCGGCGACGGAGCGGATGCTGCAGCCCTTTGAGCGGTGTGATGAGGACAGAAGCTCCGGGGTTGGATATGCGACGCGTGAGCTGTGTGTAGGCACTTACACCGACACACCTGATGAGTCAGGCGTCGCCGTCAGGGCGAGTCCATGCTGAACAGCTCGATGCCCTGAGAGTTCCAGTGCAGACCCACTCCAGAGTTAAAGACCAGAGACCAGACGTACGGGATGAAGAAATCCTCCGGCTGCTCCTCCTCCACGTACTTAAACTTCAGCTCCGGAAACTTCTGCAGGAGAAACACACGTCTGTAAACTCCTGCTGAACTGTTCAAATCAAGCAATGCATCCATACACAAACAACAACAAACCGGCCAGCAGGTTGACCTTTTTATTGTGTTCAGTCAGTGAAAAACCTCTCCAACCTTTAAAACATACAAGATATAATATTTGTCCAGATTCATGCAATGAATGGCCTTCAGGAATAAAGAAAAAAGTCCAAAGAATCCTTCACAGTGTTATTTTGGTATTATTTATATACTAGTATAGTATTTATTATTTTTTTAATTGAATTTAACTTTATTTTTATATTTTTTCATATTTATCCTTTTTCATTTGTTTTTTTAATATTTTGATTTATCTTTATTTATATATATATTATTTTAGTACATTAACTTAAACACTTTTCTTTTTACTTTAAATTTAAGTTGACATTTTTCCATCTCATATTTATACTTTATGTTTATTTTAAATAACTAAATTTTGGTTTTGGTAAACTGACTTTTATTTTTTATATTTTTCAGTTTTCATTTTAATTTGAGTTTTGACATTTTTAGTCGTTTTTTAATATTTCGATTCAGCTCTTTATATTTCAGTTTTAGTAATTTTAGTAAATTAACAAGCTTTTTTTTACTTTAAAAATTTTAAGTTTCATTTTTTCCATCTCATATTTATATTTCATCTTTATTTTAAATAAAATAATTGTAAAGATTTTTAAAAAGATTTTTTAGAAGTTTAATTTTTAGCTAACAACACTGATTCAAATGAAGAGCATTGTTAGAAAGTGACAATTAAATTATGCAGTATAGTATTTATTAATATTTGAATGAGCTTTTATTTCTATATTTTCATTAATTTTAGTTTGTTTTAGTTATTTTGTTATGTGCTTAATTAGAAATAAAAATTGAATTCAATTTAAATTGAATTTTTATTTCTATGTTTTCATTAATTTTTGTTTGTTTTAGTTATTTTGTTATGTGCTTAATTAGAAATAAAAATTGAATTCAATTTAAATTGAATTTTTATTTCTATGTTTTCATTATTTTTTGTTTGTTTTAGTTATTTTATGTGCTTAATTAGTAATAAAAATTTAATTCAATTTAAATTGAATTTGTTTTATATTTTCAGTTTTCATTTGAATTGTAGTTTAAGTTTTAAATATTTCTATTTAGCTTTATTTTTATTTTACTTCGTTTTAGAAATGTTAGTACTTCAACTTGAGCTTATTTTATTTTAGCTTAAGTTTTATAGGTTTAACTGTTCATCTAACATATTTAAGTACTTCAACTTATTTTATTGTAGTTTGTTTTTTAGGTAAAATTTAGGTTAAATCTCATATTTGCATTTCATTTTACTTCCTCTTCAAATAAAAAAAATGATTTTTAATAGTTTAGTTAACACTAACAACGCTGACTAACATTAAAAGTGACAAGCATAACAATAAAAACGCACAATGCATTTTTTTCTATCCTGTCTGACAAATTTCTCACCATCTTGGATACGATTTATATTGCGATCAGTTTTGGTGTAAATGTTCAGTGCATTCCTGCATCGTTTTTAATCCAAATAAAGCATCAATAAGCTTTAACGCTCAATTATTTCACCCTGAAGACCAGAAGATGAGACGGATGAGATGTTCAGAAATATGGCCCTAAAGACACAAAGACCAGCTCTGAGATAAGAGTTTAAAGTCAACATCCAGCATCATTCTCTTACGTAAAATGACTCATTCTGATGAAAGATGAAAGATTAAAGATAAATATTTATACTTTAGAATAACATGCACCGATGCGGCGTTCACCATCAAGTCCATTTTCCTTTCCTGTGGTTTTATTTTGATCGTCACATCAGTGAAATCTAAAGGTCGAAGTCTCGTTATTCTTTTATATGTAAAAGCAGCACTGAGTGCAAATGAGGAGCGTAAATAAGCATTGATAATGGGCGCTGAACACAGATACGGCGTGTTTGTTATCTGATTTCAGGTGAAGCGCTAGCAGTTTTGACGCAGGTGTAATTCCATCCACCTGTGAGGTAAATACACTTGAGTTTGATTGATTATATGACACACGGGAACACCTCAGACGCTGCTTTTCATGTTTAAATACAAGTCTCTTAACCTCTGGTAAAGCGATACGCGGCGCTAGTATCTGAGACGCTAGCGGCCGTCTCCTGTGTGCTAATCAGGCGAGGAGGGTTCGAGTTCCTCTCGCTGACAGCACAACACTGAGCGTCTACATTTACACCGGCCTCACTATTGGATGCATTTTGCCATTCATTCATTTTCCTTTCCATAATTCTCAGCCTTGAGCCAAACAAACAAGCTACGAGATGAATCACAACATTAAACCATTCAACGCAAAGCAACAGTGCATTTGACAAAACAGAAAAAAAACAGGTTGGCTCTATATAATTAAATAAACAACAAAAATGCCATATTAACTAACAGGCAAGTTAGCAACACTGTTAGCCTGCGACAGTGATTTCTCACGTCAAGATTGTGGGTGACGTTGCACGTAACCAGTCCAGGAATGATGCTATAAAAAGTATTTTTATGCTATTAAACTAACTTGAGGCTTTAACTGAAACATACAGTATATCATCATTTCACATCTCAGATCATGGTAGTTATCAATTTACATGACAATTTCAGCAAATTTCCCTCAAATTCACATACAACATAAAATATTACTGTGTTGCCCTAATGAAAATCTAATCAAAAACAAATTACGAATAAATTCAAGATAGAATTTTGGTTAAAAATATATATATAATAATAATAGTAATTATAATAAACTATAAATGTATGAAAGCAATAAATGAAATCAACAACTTAATATTTATTTCACTATTATATATATGTACACACATCTAATGTAAAAAAGAAATAAATATATTGATCTATCTATCTCCATAAAATTTACAATAAATTTAAAAGGGGAATTTGCTAAATTTTCATGAAAGCAATACATAAATAAATAATTCAATGAAAGTAATCAATAAACAATGACAATAATATAAAATTAAATCTGTAAAAAAAAAAAAAAACTTGTAAAGGCCCGTTCACACCAAGGACGATAACTATAAAGATAACGATAAGATAAAGTTCTAAAAATCGTTCTCAATATTAAAGAATAGCAGAGTCCACACCACAACTATAACGATAAAGACAAAGAGAAACGATATCGTTGGAATCGCTTTCAAAATGATTTTTCTCCAGCTGATGAACGATAAAAAAATTCACAGCCAATCAGAATCCATCCTGCTGTAACGAGCTCGAGAATTGAAAGCGGCAGACACGCGCTCTGGAAGTCCTTCGTTGTCACTGAAATGTGAGAGCTTGTGGCAGAGAAAGCTTAGTAAAGGTTTACGTTTGTGGAAAAAAAAAATGTGCAAACTTGACAGCACATGCAAACGTAGCCTTTCATACAAACAAAATAGTGTGTCTAGTGATTTTCTCGCTGATTTACATGAATGAATATGCACTTTGAAAGTCAAATACAAGGCACTGGCATTGCAAATGAATTTGAATAGGATTAAATTGCAAAGTGATTTATCACAGCTGATAATCAATTCAGAAACGGACACTTTGTGTGCAAATTGATGCCACAGACTGATTTACACACTTCTGCATCAAAATCACTTTCCAGTATAAATCTGCAACATGACATCATAAAAGTCTAAATAATACAGACATTTTTTCTTTGATACGTGAATTCTGTTGGCATCATTAAGCACAATATCTAATTCAATCATTCTGAAACATTTCAAGCATGATGATATCAAATACTCATGCATATACATATAAATGTACAAAATACATATATTTATCTTTTTCATTAGTGTTAGTTTCATGACGCACATTTCATAAATTCTCATTGAATTATTTTGAATTTATTTGTAAATTTGTGATTTTTTCCCCCACTTCATTATTATTAGGGCAATACAACAATATAATTACCCTTTATAAAATAAAATTTCTGTAATAAACAGATTTGAATACAATCTAATCTAATATATTTATAAATATAATTACTATAATATTCTGAATATAGAAATATACTCTTTTAGTACATATAATTATATATTATAATTATTAGCAAATGGCTGCAATATAACAAAGAGTGAAAAATTTAAGGGGGTCTGAATACTTTCCGTACCCACTGTATATATATAAAATAAAGAATTAGAATATATAATTATATATATTAAGAGTACATTTATAAATATAAGTACTATAAATATATTCTAAATATTATGGGTGTAACGGTACTCGTTTTCGTCCCGAACCGTCACGGTTCGGTTCACGCAGTCAGGCGACGAATACAGTCAGTCACAGGTGATCAATCCAAATCCAATGCAACACTAACCGTCACGACAGGAAAGAGCAGAAGAAGAGACGATCTACACACCAACCCAAAACAAGAAGGGTGAGTTCAGATGGCATGCCGGCTATAAATCGGAACCGGTTTTTACTTTTATTTTGGCCGATCTCCAGATTCCAGAATTGCACACAAACTGCATTGCAATCATTTTCAAAAAAATGACATTTGTGTGGAATTTTTATGAGGTCTGTAAAGAGGAGAAAGTACTGTAGCAGGCAGATCAAGCTCACTGTTCACGATGCTCAAAATATAGGAAGACAAATATGTGGGGGTTTATATGAATGCATCTCTGAGAGGAACTGACAGTCTTCAGAAATGGTTCAGTGGCATTTTCTTTTCCTCTTACCGCCATATAGTGCATATTAAAGTAGTGTTTATAAGCGCAGCTGCTTTTTTACAGCGGTAACCAAGGATTTTTTTTCCTGCCATCTCTCTCTATCTATAGTCGATCTGCTAATATCTGTCCTGGGCACTCAAATTAAGCGCTCTCTTCAAGACACGCCCCCTAACTGCTGATTGGCTACAAGTGTGTTTCGGGACTCGGCCCGACGGTGTGGTCAAAAGAGTTTTTCAAAAATTGCTTAGTGCACCTTTAATGTAACGTTTCCCATTCCATGACTAGTAAAATA